TGTGATGAGTTTTTTAAATTTTACACTTTTGAATGTAAGCAAAAATTCTATCAGCTGTTCGTCTAACTTGCAAGTTTCTGCAAATTTTCTGTGCGCGTACTATTCTGGATATTTTTCTCTTATGAGAGAACTGGAGATTTTAAACGAACGTCCTATTATTAACACAGGCGAGATCAGTTTATCTACTTGAATGCTACTTCATGGCGTGACACTTTTTTTTAATTTTGGGTTGCTACCATATAAAGGGAGTTTTTTTTTAGACGTGTGGTTTTCAATGAGGCAATACTCTTTTCGGAGTTGGTCTTTTCGACAGTTGTTACTTGATTTATACTCAGTTTGGTGTGCCATTTCATAATGAACAGACTTACTCCGGAACAACGTTTGCAAATCGTGGAAATTTATTTCCAGAATACTGGTTCGGTTCGAGCGACGCATCGCGCGCTGCGTCCAATATTCGGCCGACATAATCGCCCAGCAGAGTCGGTAATTCGAGCAAGCATGGATCGGTTTCGCACCACGTTTACTCTAGTGGATAATGCGCATCCTCAGAGATGCGGTACAGTGCGCACCGAAGACGATATTGATACTGTGGAGCAGAGTATCGAAGAAGACCCGAATCGAAGAAGACCCGAATGGTTGGAGCTGTGCCGGTCCACTTTATGGAAGATTTTGCGGAATCATCTTGGTTTGCGGGCTTACAAAATCCAACTCGTGCAAGAATTGAAGCCGAACGACCATCAAGTGCGTCACACGTTCGGTGAGTGGGCCCAAAACGAGATGGCCACCAATTCCGATTTTCACACGAACATTTTATTCAGCGATGAAGCTCACTTTTGGTTGAATGGGTACGTTAACAAAATTATCGCATTTGGAGTAATGATAATCCACAAGCCATTGTTGAGACGCCGTTACATCCTCAAAAAGTCACTGTTTAATGTGCTCTATGGGCAGAGGGAATCATTGGTCCATATTTCTTCAAAAATGAAGCCGGCCATAATGTTATAGTCAATTGGGAACGCTATAGAGCCATGATTAATGACTTTTTCGTGCTTGATTTGGAGGATCTTAATTTGGACGACCTTTGGTTCCAACAAGAAGGAGCTACATGCCATACAGCCAACGAAACAATCAATTTATTGAAGGAAACTTTTGGTGAGCGCATTATCTCGCGTTGTGGGCCTGTGGCGTGGCCTCCAAGATCGTGCGATTTAACACCGCTAAATTTATTATCTCATTTCGTCGGCCATTATTTTTTTCTGACGTTTGCAAGCATTTTAAAATCATATAAAATTTAAAACAAAAAAATAAAATTGTTCACAATTGTTGTTTGAGATTGAAAATGAGAATGTTACCTTGTTTATACCAACGCAAGAACCGTATTAACAAAAAACTGATTTGACTCAACACATATTTCTTGCAAGCATTTATACCTGTGTGGTTATAGCGAACTCGCATAAAACCGTATTCAAAAGTAAACAAAATTTGTTATTTTTATTCGATATTTCCTTAATAATTAATTTGGACCGAAATGAAAGCGAACCAGAATTTAAATTTGTTATAATAATAATTCGAATTTAAAACGGGCTGTATAAAGAAAACCAGCCTTTTTTCACTTCGCTTCAAATGAGTGATGTGTTTATACCTGTTTTCTAAACGATGTGAGAAATAAAAAAGCGATTTGAAAACAAATTCGAGTCAACACACTTTTGAATTTCTGAGCGTATTGAAAGTTGGTTTATGCTTCCATTTTGAATCACAGCGAACTGGGTCAAACCGCTTTATGTGTCGGTATAAACAAGGTATGTGTGTGTAGGTTTTTAAAATGATAAAGACATAGCAAGGTAGAAACGCTCTCTCAATTTGGCGGCCATGATTTTTTTTTTGAAGTTTGCCGGACTTTTAAATCATATAAAATTTAAAATAAAAAATTTAAATTGTTGTTGCTTGAGATTGAAAATGAAAATGTGTGTGTGAGTTTGTGACTAAACTTAAAAATTAAATTGCTTGGAAACGTCAAGAATTTTAAAAGTGCCTCTCAGCGGTTCTACCCATGATACAAAAAAGAAGGTAGTTTCACTTTGAAATTTTTTTACATAAACTGTGCTTATAACGTTTATACTTTTCGTAAATTGCTCGAGTATCACTGCCACCTCAACAAATTATTGTTTTGGAAATTATATTATTTTTAAAGGAATTTTTTATGCATTAAAAAATAACAACACGCAAGGTAAGTTTACTTAATTCATCGTATTAGCATAGCTGTTAATAAGAGAGTATTAATTTAAAATACCTTAAATTACCTTACCGCAAAAAATTTGTTCCATGAGATATTATTATAGATATTAGGATGTTGCTTTAATTTGGATCCTTTTTAGAGGACATATGAACAAAGGAATAGTTAAAAAGTAGCTTATCGTCAATGAAAGCACTATGGAAGCATAAACATAGAGGGAGGTAAAAAAATGTACAAATTCTTAGAGCTCCTTGTTATAGTTCATAGACAGATAAACTACTCGCTCTACTGCTGCTGGTGCAGCGTTTCGCTTAGATTGGGCACATCCGTCCCTAGGCTGAAAATTTTCCCCCGAAAAGCTGTTGGAACAAGCAAACAACACCTTGGTACTTCACCAATGCACGTGGCCATCCCGAAATATGCAGCTAATCGTACTAAATAATGATGAAAATAATTGCATAAACAAATAGATTATCCATGTGTAATATAATAGGAGTATTTTACTAGCCTTCCGTTTTATAATTAATTTTAGAAATAAACCACTAAAATCTCGCTATAAAATGATGCTCAAAATATATTCCTTGAAATAATTTTGGAATATTTTTTTTAAGTAAAAAACCACTTTTTAGTTTCTTCAAAGAATGTGGTAGCTTTAATTTAAAAGAAAACGTCAAAAGCACAGTTTACGTCAAATGGGAGCAATGGCGGATAATAAGAAGAAGTGAAACTACCTTTAAATATTTGTATCATGGTGTTACGTTTTCGTACTTTCTCATGTTTCTCATATTGGGAGTAAATATTCGCATACTCTCCGAAATTTGGTTACTGACAAGTTACTGGATAGTTCCTTACTGGAAAATATGAAAACAGATCTATTGTGTAGATAGAAACATTGACAGTTTAATACAGTGGTTCAGATGAAATTAAAAAATATATATATTGCCTGTCGAGGGGCGACCGCTGTTAAGAAAAACATTTTTTCTATATTTTTCTCGATGTTGGTTTGACCAGACCCTGCGGAGTGGAAGCGCGGCTGCTTACAGCGGAAAATACAAAAACAAAATATTTTCGCTTCGGGCTAAGTTGACGGTTTGAGTAATCATTGACGATTTCTTACGTCAGTTAAGTCTAGACTAACTGAGCCTTTAGTCAACGAAATTTTTTATAGAGCTTATAGGGGGAGTATTCGATTAGAAAACCTGAGAGCACCGATTTGGATCGCAGGTGGCGCAAATTTTAATTTTTTTTTACAGCGACTACTCGCTTATTATACTCGTTTGGGTATAAAGGAGGGCATTTTGTCTCTTCATAGAACACGTTGGAAAAAAAGCGAACAGTTCCTTTGCGATTGTACTCTAGAGCTGCAAACTATCGATAGTGACGCCATTCGATAGTTTGAAAAATACTATCGATATTTTCGATAGTATCGTATACTATCGTGTTGTATATGTACGGAAACTTCAACTCCGAACAAAATGTGTATAATATATACATATTTATGTACATATGTAAATGAAAATATTGCACATATGTAAGTATAAATATTACATCTTAAACGTGAATTTCTAATTATTTTCCTTAGTTAAATTCACAGCGTCACTTATTTAAGTAAAGATCACGAAATTTCAGTGCACCGGCACTATCGAAACTATCGACTGCAGCCCGAAAACAATCGATGTTTTTCCAAAAATGAAACTATCGATACTATCGATAGTACAATCGATAGTTTTGCAGCTCTATTGTACTCGGATTAGTTAAATTTTTTGCAGGGTAGAGAAGATGAAAAGCATAAAATTTATTTTAAATATTGCCATAATACTGTAAGCTCCGACGGTTTTAAGCTAACCTTTAAGATATTGCCAAATGGAACAGTTATTTTCAGTGATCCTATATTACCCCGTGTACAAATTTTCAATATTAGGTCCATTCTTTTGCAACCGAGCTACAAAAGAACACTCGCTTAAATGACGAAATACACGCAAAGCAGCAACACAAACTCGGCTATTCCCCGTAGCGAATGTCATGCATTAGTCACTTAAGAGTCTTGTACGGAAAAGTTACGTCTTAAATGACTTTGGGCTCCATTTGTATGGAAGTCGTTCATGACTTTTTCATATAAATGGTAATTTCGTCGTTGATGTCATCTGCATGACTTGGTCATGCAGTGATCAGTAATGACATTCAAGCGACAGAATCTTGCAATCAACTTTTTATAAGTGACTGCTGCAAGACATTGTCTGTTATAAGTCTTTGATAGGAGTGCAAGTGCGACGATGTCACTAAATCCTCATTAGTGACGATGTCACCGGTGATCATTTTCGCTACTGGGTTTATCCTGGTTCAGCCAGGTATTTTAAAAAATACGCGACCTGAAGAGTAGTGTTGTCAAGTGAAAAAGCTGCTATATTGTGAATTGTTAATGAGAAAGTAGAGAGGGAAATTTTTGTTTTCGTATATACATGATTTATATTTTAAATAAGTATATATATTACGCAAATACCTCGCATAATTACTAATTTCTATTGTTTTTTGTGTCTAAATCCCGTTGATCTAATCACATGTTTCTTGCCAGCTACCAGCAGGGTTGCTTAAGTAGGTAAAAGGAAATTTTACCCGAGTTGAGCGTTCTTTTGTCGCTCGCTTACAAAAAATGCAGCTTTTTTAGCTTAGCATAAATTTTAAGGATTAACCAACTAAGAAAACAAATTTTTTTTTAAATGCAATCTCTTGAGTTATCTATTAAGAGACAGTATTATTTTATTTTTAGGAGCAACTAGCCGAGTTGGAAGCCGCTTTTGCGAAGTCACATTACCCGGATATTTACTGCAGAGAGGAATTGGCACGAACGACGAAGCTTAACGAGGCGCGAATACAAGTAAGTTAACTAACTTCTCAAAGAATATACCCTGTTTCCGAAATTGGAAAAAAAAACAATTATACCAGTAGAAGCATTCGGAAAAAGACACAAACAACATACATATGTACATGACGTTTTCTGTTTTACTAATCGTGATTAGCGATTAGTCAGTGATTATTCCAATTCATCGCTCCTAAATCTCTCAGCATTTGGCACGGGTGTCGCTGTAAAGTGCATCCATTATTTTATTCATTCCAAATCTATTCGGTCTGTTTACATCCGATTTAGCAGCTTATACATACATACATATGTATGTGTAGATATACCCTGCAGCAAATCAAACTGGTTCAGAACTAGCGCCTAACTAGCTTGAAAAGGGACGGTGCTGGTTCTTCATCTATCCCAAATCAATGCTTTCGACTGTCTTTTTTTAACATGGCGATGCCCTACGAAGTGAAACTTGCCCCCCTCTGCAGAACTTTTGAACTCGTTCTAAACTGGTTCCATGATGGACAGATCTGGGAATACAAGTTTTTTAGGAGAAAAAATTTTGATTATTCGATTTTTGGATACTTTTTCGTTTTTTTCTTTTCTTGTACAGATTGCATTTAACTTAATTTTTATTTATTTTTAGTTTTATTTTATTTATATAAATTTTGATCATTTTCTTTAAATTTTTAAGCGGCACACAACAATTAAAATGTATTTAATCTGAAAATCACAACAGCCTCCATCGCGATTTGAACTCGCGACCAACGATGTTAGAGTCGGAGGTCTTTCCGCGGAGCTATTTTCGTATTGTACGGGAAGTGAGAATTTGTTCATTTAAGCCCAAAATACAATAACGCAGTGGCAGTGGCGGCGGTAGTTTTTCGAAATCAGCTGTTTTTTAGAAAGTGTGGTGTCCAATGAAGCGACTCACAATACAGCAGTGGCAGCTAGCAGTACTGCTCAGTTTAGCCCAAATTCTAATTTCACTGCCACTGCCTTCATCGCAGCAAACTTCGCATGTTGAATTTGACACAAATGAAACGCAGCCAACTTCTGTTGATGTCACTGAAGCCTAAAAGGCAACAACAAAAACGTTAAAAAACAAATGTCAAAAAAAGCAGTCACTGACAACGCCGTATTGTGTTTGCTGCGGCAGTGACTGCCAATAGGTCCATTCTTTTGCAACCGAGCTACAAAAGAACACTCGCGTAAATGACGAAATACACGCAAAGCAACAACACAAACTCGGCTATTTATCCGTGTTCAGCCAGGTCGGTTAAAAAATACGTGACTTGAAGAGTAGTGTTGTTAAGTGAAAAAACTGCTCTATTGTGAATTGTTAATGAGGAAGTGTAGAGGTAAATTTTTGTTTTCGTATATACATGATTTATATTTTAAACAAGTACATATATTACGCAAATACCTCGCATAATTACTAATTTCTATTGTTTTTTGTGTCTAAATCCCGTTAAACTAATCACATGTTTCTTGCCAGCTACCAGCAGGGTTGCTTAAGTAGCTAAAAGGAAATTTTACCCGAGTTGAGCGTTATTTTGTCGCTCGCTTACAAAAAAAATGCAGTTAATATTAGCAGTAACAGCTGATTTTAGATACTGTCACTGCCACTGCGCTATTGTATTTTGGGCTTTACTTCTCAGCTTTCACGCGCTAAATGTAAAAAACTTTGAGGGCAGCGCAACTGTCATACCGCCCCAGCGGCACAAATGCACATTACGTAATCGAATACTCATTCAACATTTCGAAGGCGGTATATCGAAATGAATCGATTACAACTCAGATTACTTTTCTATAAGCATGGCTGATTTGTGGTTAGCGTTTTTACATACTCGTATTGTTTGTAATCGGAAAGTATGAGGTGACAGAATACTCTTCGGGCGTTCATTACAATACGTATTCGTTTCTAAATTGGGTCAGCGGTGTTTTAATCAATTATTTGTATTAATTACGCAATGCATATTGTAGACGGACCCGATTTATCAGTGCGCCGCTGCGGCAAGTTTCATCTGCCCCGCTCTGCAGCCGATTTGTACTAGTTCAGAGAAAGTTCTGAAATTTTGTAGGGCGGAACTAGCGCTTTGCCAGACTGTCTCTAAATTTCACTGCGGGGTAAATCTATGGTATCGTGGTAAATGAATATGAACATACATATGTATGTATGCCTGTGCATGCGCTCAAAGACCGCTTTGTGCCCCGCAGTTATAATTAATTTATAGTTTTATAATGACTTCAACCCTCGTAGACTCGAACAGTCGGTGGGTGGTACCATTGGTGCAGCGTGCAAGTAAAACGACAGCGGCATACGCACACACACAAAGGCGTCCCTTGTTGGTGAAGATGGAACACTTGGCACCAGTACGCCTCAAAGCATGCTATGTTATTTTGACTTGTTTTATGCTTGTGAATATTTTAAGCCAGATGTAGACTGGAAAGTGTTTTACATCGACTCAAATAGCACGAAAGGAGGATAAACTCTTCAAATTACTGGGGTTGTTGCTCAATTTGTGTTGACACATGCCACGACTGAAAATATTTGAACATTTGCAGTAAAATATGGTTTACGCTCACTAATAAGGCAGTGGTTAATGGTTCAAATCCTTGCAGTGTTCGTGTTTTTGTGGTCTTTTTTGAATGAGTGTTGAGAGCTGATGACATCTCATCACATTTGTTATTTGATGAAGTGATAATGCGCTTTTAAAAGCCTATCACATATTTAATCTCCGAGTACATACATCGTTAGTAATTTCATATGTGTACATTTGAAAGGTTTTTAGTCTAAAGTGGATATACCGGTTGAAAATTAGCTAAGAAAACTTGTATCATTGCATATGCACGGCTTCAAGATAAAGATCGTTAGAAACTCTGAGTTAATAATTGCATGGCTTACAACTGTATTAATTAACTACTTATTTAAACAACAAAAAAAAAAAGATACACAAATTAGAATAAAATAAAATAAACTCAATTCAATTGAATTATGTAAGTTAACTCAGTAAAAGTGAAATAAATTCAAACTATATGCCCTATTCGGAACATACGCATGCATGTCTAAATGAAAACGAAAGCTCTTCATAGTAGTCTGTCCAGAGCCACGTAAGTGATTTCATTCCAGTGTGGTAGGGCCAGCATTTAGCAAAGGTCGGCCAAGGTATGCAACAGAAAACGTCAGAGATTTGTAAGGTAAAAGCAGTGCCAATGAATTTTATGAAGAGCGGGGAAATTGTGAATGTTTGGTGACATATGTAGCATATTCGTTTTCGCATAGCTGATCTTAAAAACCATTTCGGGATCACATTTCACTAGTTCAATAAAGTATGGTTTTCTTTTTTACAAAGTATATAAGGAAAATATGAGGCGGTGCATTCTTGAAGGATTCCGTTTGTGATGTCAAAAGAACAACTTTGAATCGAATATATCGACTTTTTGCCCCAATGCATGGAATTTTTTCCTAACTCTCCGTTAGGCGAACATTTTTTTTTGTCAATTTCGTTCCAAATCGGTCTGGCCAGACCCCCATATGTATATGTATGTATTTTACGTATTTACAGATAAATGGCTATAGAATGCGTTTTTATACCATTCAGTAACGTATTTTTTTTATTACTTATCGTTATTAAGGTTTGCGGACGATGAAATTAGTGCACGCATTTTTACTTGTAAAACTTTTCAAGTACAAAATTTTATTATTTTTTCAAATCAAGATACCTCTCATAAATGTACAAAAATTATCATGCAAAGTTTTAAGGCCATCTGATAAGTTTTGGTTTCGAAATGAGCAAAGAAATAAAAGTTCGTGTTGAAGTTGTTAAGCTGATGCCACATAAAACTTTTGCTTCGCTTTGCGTGACAGATTCGCTTTGACAGATAAGATGAATTGTATGAAAATCCACAAAGCATGCCACACAGATCGTTGAAGCTGCAGCGCGAAGCGAAAAGATGGCCAACTCCCATCTTTTTGTGCGCCTTGACAATCAGCCGGTTTAATATTTATTTTGTTTTGTCCAAATTCGAGTTTTCATGTAGAAATATAAAACTTAATTGCATTGCTGATATTTTTAAAGCAATATATGTATATAAAATCCACAGCAATTTTGACGAGTAAAAAAGCAGTATAAAATGGTTTTCTTGGGGTTCAATGTGGCATACCTTTTGCGTCTGCCGCTTTGCTGGCAAAGTTATAAATGTCACGCAAAGCTAGGGTTGCCAGATTTTGAAACGGAGAAAGGAGTACATTTATATTTTCGATAGAAAAAAAGCAGTACATGACATAAAAAAGGGGTACAATTTCTTTTTTTTAATTTTTTGTGCAATTTATTGTTACAAATTACCATTAATTGGGTACAAACAAACAAAGATATCTTAGAAATCTTTTTCAAAGCAACAATAAATGTGAAAAATAAATAAACTATATGGGTTGGCTTTCCAATAGGGACGGTTGTTAAAGAGATGGTGATCGAAGGGGGAGTGCCGTGGCACCTTTTCCGACCTTTTTGGAGAGGGCATGAACCGCCATTGACAAAAATGTTACTCCCGACCACCTAAGGCCCCTATGGGTCCCCAGAGACCCCTTAGAAAAATAGCCAAAAGTCATAATTTTCAATGTTATTGTGGCTTATTAACATTTTATTTTTAATATTTTTATTGAGATTTGTACCACGATTGTTTATTAGGAAAAATTTTCACTTGCGTCCACTGTATTTTTGCGTAGAATTCGGTTCTCAATGACCGCCCTTATAGGAAAGTTTCCCTACAGAAGAATTCCAGACTATTCCTGAATGTATGGCCATTTTTTTAATTTAAGCCTTATAATTAATTTAATATTTTTCTGATTTTTATACCCTAGTCCCCTGCCCCTAAGGCCATGCTTACACCTTTTCACTATCACAATTAACTTTGCTTACTAAGTAGTGTTTGCCACAATATGAATGGCAAAGTACAGCGCGTAAAATAATAACTGTCGCACAGGTTTTTTGAAAAATAAAAGGGTTCTTTATAGATTTTGTGTTTTT